AATATCAATCACATATGACATATTAATTATATCAAGTTTAATATGAATCACATATGACATATTATTAATTGCATCAAGCTTAATATCAATTACATATGACATATTAATTATGTCTAATTAAACATCAATTATATAAAATTAAAAAATATTGTAAAAGTATACCCAGCAATTCTAAAAAGAAAAAAATATATTAAAAATACAAGATGAATTTTTTTTATTAATTTTAGAAGTTCATATGGTAGATATGTTAAGTCTGTGTTACCAGGAAGTGAAAAGTGATTTTTTTTCTTGCATTTCTTATTACAGTAGATCATTTCGAAAAAGCGTGTCACAGAAACCAGACGTCAGAAAGCAATTGGATGATTTTGAAGATCATCGACCATACTTCACGTATTGGATCACCACCGTGCAAATCCTCATTTTGATAATATCTTTGGCGTGTTACGGTTTTGGACCCGTTGGCATGGATCTTAGCCACAGATCTGGATTGGTGAGTTGTTGTACAAACTTTAAATTAATATTCAAGGTTAACCTTGAATATTCACCTAATTTTTTTACACTAATCATGAGACAAAAATATTACATATCTTACAAAATAAAAACAGCAAATAAATACCACGAAATAAAAATATTGAATAGATGCTACATAATAAAAATATTGAATAGATGCTACATAATAAAAATATTCAACAGTAGATGCTACGAGATAAAAATATTCAACAAAAGATATCATAAAACAAAAATCCATAATGAATATTCCACAGTCACAAAAAAATTAAATAAAATATATCACCAAATAAAAATGCCTAATATAATATTTAATTTCATGTACAGAACCTTGCAAAATATCCCATATTAAATATTAAAAAAAAAAGAATTGTAAGTTAAAAGCGTAACAAAGATGGATATTAAACGTCGTAAGATACCTCGTGAAAACACGGAATATTAAACATTACGAGATATGAAATATGACGGAATAAAACGGATGAAAATCTCCGAGTGGTGGGAATATTTCGTTTACAGGTTCTCGTGACGAGCTTATCGTTGCAACAAGTGGACTACCAGGAACCAGCGAATTTCTGGTTCGGTCCTAGAGCGGCGGACTTGATTCATCTGGGCGCAAAGTTTGCCCCGTGTATGCGTCGGGATATTAAAATTTTGAAGGAGATCGACGTGTGGCGGGAAAGAGAACGAGACACTGCGTGCTGCATCAGAAACGACGACTCTGGCTGCGTGCAATCCAGCAAAGCCGACTGCTCTGTGAGTTCTTATTTCAACCATAATGCAAACTCTTCTGTAAATTTCATCGTGCCGTCTTTATAATATAACCTTCTCTTTTGCAAACCAATTGGTCCGGGGATTGAGATCGACCGCTACGGTAAATTTAGAATGTTGCTAAATTTTCCGTTTACTTTTTGCATGGTTTTCATTTATGTATTATGAAAAAGATCGAATTTATTTGGTTGATAACCGAAAGTTTATGAAACCAGAACACGATATCCACGTGGAAAAAATGGGGACCCGGGGACAGCGGACCAGGTGGACGAATAAGCGGATCAGTTTGCGGTTTGGATCCGAAATTTTGCGACGCCCCGGCAAGCATAGCACCATACGAATGGCCAGATGACATCACCAAATGGCCCATTTGTCGGAAAACCAATTCGTTCAATCAACGCTTTAGGTAAATCGTTAAAAGTTGTTATTCCCTCTTGTAATTCCCATGAAACTTTCTTTTATTTCATCGCGCAGTTCTATGGGGAAGATTAACGATTCTATTTGCTTACAATAAATATTCGGGAACAAGAGCTTTTATTGCACGCTGCCAGATTTCGAAGCGCGAAACTTTGCCATGGCGTGGTTTTATTGAATCGGTGTCAATTTAAAGCTTGATGTTCTACAAAAATTACTGTGTGAATGGATTGAGGATATTATTAACACAAAATGGCGGGCTATCAATTTTATGAGTGGTCGATTTAGAAGTGTACACACGCTATTGCAAATTCATGACAGAAAAGTTTTATCAAATCACGAGTGTGATATGTCAATTTAAAGCTTGAAGTGTGACGAAAATTACTGTGTAAATGGCTCGTTGATATTATTAATACAAAATGGCCGACTATCAAATATAATATGCAATAGTCGATTTAGAAGTGTACAAATGCTATTGCAAATTCATGACAGAAAAGTTTTATCAAATCACGAGTGTGATATGTCAATTTAAAGCTTGAAGTGTGACGAAAATTACTGTGTAAATGGCTCGTTGATATTATTAATACAAAATGGCCGACTATCAAATATAATATGCAATAGTCGATTTAGAAGTGTACAAATGCTATTGCAAATTCATGACAGAAAAGTTTTATCAAATCACGAGTGTGATATGTCAATTTAAAGCTTGAAGTGTGACGAAAATTACTGTGTAAATGGCTCGTTGATATTATTAATACAAAATGGCCGACTATCAAATATAATATGCAATAGTCGATTTAGAAGTGTACAAATGCTATTGCAAATTCATGACAGAAAAGTTTTATCAAATCACGAGTGTGATATGTCAATTTAAAGCTTGAAGTGTGACGAAAATTACTGTGTAAATGGCTCGTTGATATTATTAATACAAAATGGCCGACTATCAAATATAATATGCAATAGTCGATTTAGAAGTGTACAAATGCTATTGCAAATTCATGACAGAAAAGTTTTATCAAATCACGAGTGTGATATGTCAATTTAAAGCTTGAAGTGTAACGAAAATTACTGTGTAAATGGCCCGTTGATATTATTAACACAAAATGGCTGGCTATCAAGTATAGTACACAATGGTCCACTTAGAAGTCTACAAATGCTAATATAATTTCATGACATAAAATTATGACTTTGTGACACTTATAATATATCAAATTAAAGCTAAGGATTTACTGAATATAACTATACAATGGACCACTTCACATTTTTGCATATAAACAATATCTTCTTTGATGACCAGAGTCGTTTGAAATTTTGAGGGTCCATCGCTTATCTTAATGAACAATCATTTTTTGTTAAAATTACTCACGGGGCCTTGACACACTCATTTTCAGTGATCTTCAAGCTTTAATTTGGTATATCACAAGCGCTATTTGATGATACTTTTATGTCATGAAATTTCGTTAGAAGATATACGTTCCAAAAGAGTGTATATGCAACAATTTAAATCAATACGAGTATTCTATTATACTACTTTGCATTGAGGGTGTTAATGACAGGTGCATCTATAGGGTAATATTCAGTGATCTTCAAGCTTTAATTTGGTATATCACAAGCGCTATTTGGTGATACTTTTATGTCATGAATTTATGCTAGACTTTTTGTCTTTCAAAAAATCATTGTTACATATAACAAAGAATAAAATATTTTATATTGAGAATATTAATAAGCCATTCATACTGACATGTTCACTCAGTCTTTAGCTTTCATATTAACAAAATTTAATCATACTTTTTTGTCATGAAATCGCGTCAGTCGAAAATAATTTCATATACAGCCATGTAACATGAGTTTGAATATAGTCTATGTTATTTAATTTTGAAGTAGAGTGATTTTACTTGCAAAATATCCATACACCTTACTTATGAAATGTCCATAAACCTTGCAAAATATCTACCTAACTTGCAAAATATCCCTAAACCTTGTAAAATATACATATGTATCTCTCGAATAGTCTAATATCGAGAAAAACCTTTGACGCTTATCAACAGTAGAAACGGGAGCCAACGGGGCAACACCAACTTCCCAGTGGGTCGGTACAAAGATAAAATGGCGGAGCACATGGTGTGCGAAGTGATAGGACATCCGTGTTGCATCGGTATTCACGGAATGTGCCGGATCACGACGAAAGAATACTGCGATTTCGTGCACGGTTATTTCCACGAGGAGGCATCCCTCTGTTCCCAGGTTGAATGTTTGCACGACGTTTGCGGCATGATACCGTTCCTTCATCCAGAATGGCCAGATCAATTCTACAGACTCTTCACAACTACCTTTCTTCATGCTGGGTGAGTCTTCTATCTTCGCACATTTCTCATTTTATTTTTAGTAATTCACTCACTTTCATTTATTTCACTAAAATTTACATCAATTTTATTTTAGTAATTGCTTACAATTTGTAGCGACTATTATTTCTTTCCTTTTTGTGAGTCATTAAATTGATAATAGAGATTTGATTCAAAGTGATTGTGTTTGGTTAAATACAGTTGTGGTTGTATTAAATATAATTGTGTTTGAATAAATACAATTGTGGTTGTATTAAATGTAGTTGTGTTTGATTAAATACAGTTTGTATTAAATATAATTGCAATTTGTTAAAAAGATGACTGACAATTTTTATTTTGATTACAGAATTATTCACCTGTGTATAACGCTATTGGTTCAATATTTCCTGATGCGGGACTTGGAGAAGCTGACAGGCTCGTTGCGAATTGCTTTGATTTATTTCATCGGAGCACTTGCGGGAAACCTGGCCAGTGCGATATTTGTTCCCTATAGAGCCGAGGTACGCTTTCAGAACTGTTATTCTACTCATCAGTAGTCTAACACAAAATAGTCCATCCTCTTTCAATATTGCTGTGTATCTCATTTGAGAAATTCTAGTCTGGTCATTTAGAAATCAGGTAAATGAAATTTGGAAGTGCACAAATTTTTCATGTTTTGGAAGTTTAAAAATATAGGAAACCTGGAAATTTAGAACTCAGATAATTATAAAATATAAAAATATAAAAATGACGTCTAGAATAATAAAAATATAAAAATACCACAACATAAAAAAGTAGAAACCTATAAATTTAAGAATAGATTTCAAATATTGCACAAAACTGCTATCGATAAAATTTCAAATAAATCCCGTCCATCAAAGTGTCAATAACGAAACAGTGAGAAGGTTTAGCGAAGGTGTCAATTAAACAAACTCCGTTAGAAGATTATACATGCAAGCGCGGTTAATAAAATAGATATCTTTAAAAGCCGGAAATAATAATTTGGCTGAAAATCAGTGGTCGATTATTCATTGAACCAAGTCGCTTTTATTAGTCTCGTCACGATGAAGTTTTAATTGGATAATCTCACGGGACGCTTAGCGGTGCGTTTCACTGTATATCGTCGATTTAATCGACGCTTTGACCCTCCAGGGTAAAGTAATTGCTCGGGGGGCCACTGTGACTTATATCCATGAAAGGGGTTAACACTATAACAATCGTTTCCTTTACGGCGTCGTTCGCGCGCCCTATCGCTCGATAGTTTACCTCTTAACACTTCGCTAAACTCCCGAGTTATACGTCAATTCCGTTTCCACTGTTTCCTTTCTATCGGGACCATCGACTGAATAAAGGCACGGAAAGCTGCCGTCCTCGTTTAACTAATACCGTCCAATTTGCTCTAATTAGTTTTGGTTAAACGCAACTTACTTTCATTACCCAACAATTCTCTCACGAAATATACTGTTAATTCTCTGATTGGCTGAACAGTCACTATTTTAATCCTTTTGCCTTACATTTATTTATTGCCTCTTGCGGATTTACATGCGTTAGGGGTTTCATGACAAAAGTGCTTTTACTCACAGTGTATTAATTTCAAGAATGAAGTCTCAAGGGTTGTTTAAATTTTTTCAGAACAAAGTAGCTGATTGGCGGTTGAGAATAATTTTGGAGCATCAGCAGTCAGGTCAAAATTACACTTATGATGTATCAGTTGAACAAGAAATGCATTGGTCAAACCATTCCTTCAATGAAGCAGCCATTTTGTAATAAGAATGAGGTTATGTTAGGAAAATCTCTAGGTTTATATTAACTCCATTCCTTCAATGAAGCAGCCATTTTGTAATAAGAATGAGGTTATGTTAGAAAAACTTCTAGGTTCATATTAACTCCATTCCTTCAATGAAGCAGCCATTTTGTAATAAGAATGAGGTTATGTTAGAAAAACCTCTAGGTTCATATTAACTCCATTCCTTCAATGAACCAGCCATTTTGTAATAAGAATGAAATTATCTTAGAAAAACCTCTAGGTTCATATGAAGTCTATTCCTTCAATGAACCAGCCATTTTGTAATAAGAATAAGTTATTAATTAATATATCATAAGTGACACTTGATGGATGGATATTTGAAATAATTAATATAGAAACAGACTCTATAAGCCAGTCTTAAGCTCAAACGTAGACATGTTGGTTACCAATATACCCTTCATAGTTCCAGAAATTAATCTCAACTGAAACATCTCTAAAATTACCTAACAAGTTAGCAAACTGCCCCTTATCAAAGTAAATCAATTACAAGAAAATGTAATCCTATAATAATTACGTATTAACAATTAATAATTAAGTTCTGTATTATATAACAAGTACAATGCATGATTGCAGGTCGGACCAGCAGGAGCGCACTTCGCCCTCCTCGCCACGTTGATCGTCGAAGTGCTGCACTGTTGGCCAATGTTGAAGCATCCTCGACGAGCCCTCTCGAAGCTGATCTTCATCCTGTTGGGTCTTCTTCTCCTCGGCATTCTCCCGTGGGTCGACAACTACGCCCACCTCTTCGGTTTCATCTTCGGCTTCCTCGCCGCGTACGCTCTGATGCCTTTCATCTCTTTCGGCCACTACGATCGTCGTCGCAAGATTTGGCTGATCTGGATCTGTATGATCCTGATCGTGGTACTGTTCACCCTGTTACTGACCCTGTTCTACAACGTGCCGGTGTACGAATGCGAGGTGTGCAAGTTGTTCAACTGCATCCCGTTCACCCGCGACTTCTGCGCCTCCCAGAACATCAACTTCAAACGAGAGGAGCCCGTATGACACACGGGGCCGTGCTTCGAAGTCGAGCTCGAATCGTCCTTGAGCCTGAGGCAGGACTTCTGGATGCTGCTTCTTCTGGCTCTGCAGTCTGGGATCGTGAAACGAAAGCACGGGCGCTGAGAAACGCGGGGACACCTCTGTACGTGTTTACTGCCAACGAGGAGCTCGTGTTCGTCGCTGATCGACGAACGACACTGCCTTAAAAGTAAAATAACAGCCAAGGATCACCGGTGCTCCCTTGTCCAACGGACTCCCTGTGTGGTCCTCGCTCGATTGTAAATAATATTAGACACACGCGCCTTTAACCGAGCGACCTAGTGGATCCATAACAAAGTGTGGAACTTTCACGTGTGGTGGGACTAGGAGAACGATCGATCGACGTGCATCCACCCCTTGGAACTTGCTCGTTCGACGAGTTGTACATAGAAACGGACTCTTGTTACATATACATACTCACGATCTAAGAACGACCTTACTAAGTTTAATTTTCAAAGCGTGATGTAGATGACGATGAGAGAGCGTATGTGTGCGTGTATGTATTGCGTGCGTGGGTTGAGTTTCATTTACGGTCGTACCTCCGACGCTGGAACGATCTGTGATGGGCCACACGATTGTCTTCAAGAATATTTTTCATAACGTCGCGCAGCACAGGTGCAACATCTAAGGGATCCGTTACCGTGAATCGGATGAGCTTTAATTTTAAGGGTCGGAGGTGGAGGGATGTTCAGAGGGAGGAAGAGGGAAGATATTTATTAAGTATATCTTGGTGAGATACGAATCAATTTTTTATAACGGCGTGAGAGAGCGGGAGAAAGTGAGGTTATCAGAGAACACTTTAATCAATTTCCATCTTGTATATAATTAGAAGAGTGTTGAGGATAGAGGGTGGAGGATGAACGAGATGTACGAGTTCAAGGGTTCATTTCGTGTTAAGGTATAAACAAAGAAACAACAAAAGCACTGTGACATTCGTGAATGTGTATTTTATTATAACGGGTAATGTAAATGTAAGGGAATGCTGTCTGATAGGGGAAAGAGAGAATGGGACTTCGTTTGCGTCTTGTCTCGTGTGAACGATCATATTTACGAATTATCAATAGCGAACGTGATGTGCCACAACGTGGATCGTCGCAAGTCTGAAAGTGATTAGAGGCCGTAATCTGTCGCGATTTTTTTATAGCGTTGTTTTAACTAGTTCATTATGCTCAGTTTGTGGTATTTCACGGAAAGACTGTTCTGTTTGTACGTTTTACTTTCAGTATCAAATCGGATATAACGATAGTCTGCTGTACTTGCAAGTACACTTGAGTAATCTCTTCCCATATATCAATATAAAATTACAAAGTTCAACTCCATAAATCAGAGGCAAAAGAAAATCAGAATGGTTTCGACCGAAAGGATGGTACATTGAAATTAATTGCAAAGAAAAAAAACCGTACAGGCAGAAACGTTTCCATCTATAACAGTTTTTAAGAAGTAGACTTAGCAATTTAATTTTGAAACTTTATTAAAATGGCATGGTTTTTCATCTTCGTACATGTGGAATGTCACATAGACGCCTTTTCAAAATTCAGAAACCTTTCTTTTTAAATTTAAATTGGAAATATGTAGTTTTAACACATTAAATGTCACAGAGGTTTATTATAAATTTAATAGCATATCTTACATTTGAATTCCAGTAAAGAGTTACTATTATATAAATGTAGTATATAGTGCTTTGAAAAAGTTTAAATAAATACAAAGGTCATTTAATTGCGGTTCTAATCCTACAAAGTAAAAAATTCAATGGTAGAAATATGAAGATTAATTATTCCTATTTTTGATAATATTTTCCCTGCAACGATTAATGTGTTAATACCCTAAAACTCTACCTCGAAGACGCAAAAAATGAGGGAAAATCTCATCCGTTCTCGAAAGATTAATCAACCTGTGACAGCGTTAAATTAAACTAAGACGAAAGCAACGATTACGATAATCGAAAACCATGCTATTCAAAAGAAAACAGTTCGACGAATCTTGACCAATCTTGCCTTGTATTTCGTATCACGATGTGGTCATTCATGCTTCCCTGTTGAATATTTTTTACCGTTCGCCTGAGCCCAGGCAGTGCACAAATTTTTTGCCTCGTACACCCCTAACGATCGGTCGGCACGAATTCACGTGTTTCTGTGCGAAGAAAAAAATCAACATTATAAAACGATTAAGCGAGAATTAATGGAGGGGCGGGGCGTGTTCTAGCGACGTTTAAGAACGATGACTTTCTCTTTGGCAAAAAAAAGAAAAAGAAAAAAACGAAATGCTTTTATATTTGGTCCCACAATTCGAACGCGTAGACATCATTTGCCTCGAACATTTTCGTTTGGAAAAACTCTGTAGAAAATCTATTCGGATTACCTACCGTTTATCGAAATTCTCGCTCGCTCGAACATTCGAAACTTTTTTGTGATACACGAGCGAGCGAGCGAGAACGAGACGAGAATAAGGGGTGTGAATAGACGTGAAAATGGACAGGAGGGGGTCCAGGACCTTTGAGAAAAAACACACACCAGCGACACACTGAACTTTTCGGATTATATAAATATATAAATATATAAATATGAGTATATATAAATATACACGTATACATAAAGAAGTAAAAAAAAAAATGTGAAGTACGAGTTTAAGGTGCGAGAACGGGGTGGACGATTGTCGACGAGTAACATATTGTTATTATTGTAAATGTGTCATATACAGGTAATAGCATGCCATACAAAGAGAAAAACCAACGGTGAGAACGAGGAAAACGTTTGAGAATAACTTCGATATTTCCATACCGATCACGGCGAGGTGGAATATCGTCTTTCGCCCCGGGGACGATGAGAGTTGACTGCGTTATGCTCGTCCTTACCCTTTTAATAAAGGGTTGAAATGGTTGCGAGAATTTTCTTTCGTTACAGAAAAATATCATTAATTATTTTTTAATGCCTCAGAAAGGAAACTTGTATCACTGATTTAATATGTTCACTGCTATCACATATTATTTTGTGAAATTCACTTTTGAAAATATGAATTGAGTTATACATTGATGTATGAATTAAGAAATATGTTCTGGAGGGAAACTTGTATCACTGATTTAACATGTTCACTGCTATTACATATTATTTTGTGAAAATCACTTTTGAAAATATGAGTTGAGTTATACATTGATGTATGAATTAAGAAATATGTTAAAATATGAATGTTCAGAGTAGCTTCAAGAGAGGAAGATTACTTTTAAATTTTTATAAAGAATCTTAAATGATAGTATTGCCTTCTATCTTACTTGTATAACAAAACATTTGAAAATATGAATTGAGTTATACATTGATGTATGAATTAAGAAATATGTTAAAATATGAATGTTCAGAGTAGCTTCAAGATTGAAGGAATACTTTTAAATGTTTATAAAGAATCTTAAATGATAGTATTGCTTTCTATCTTACTTGTATAACAAAACATTTGAAAATATGAATTGAGTTATACATTGATGTATGAATTAAGAAATATGTTAAAGTATGAATGTTCAGAGTAACTTCAAGAGAGAAAGATTACTTTTAAATTTTTATAAAGAATCTTAAATGATAGTATTGTTTTCTATCTTACTTGTATAAAAAAACATACCCTCTTCACATGTTAAATGCATCATGAAGAGCATCTTACTTGTGGCAGTGAATATATTATAATTTCAAGGTAGATCAAGGTTGATGAATAGATTATATAGTATAATTTTGTGCAATAACAATTGAGTATGAATATCAATTCAGTTTATATATTTATTACTAAAAATTTTTGCTAATTTTGTTCTCAACGTGCTTCATAAAAATTTCGTGTACTTTTGTAATTTTCAATGTACTAAGCTAAAGATCCAATGTACAAATTAAAAGGATCAGTGCCCAAGTTAGAGAATTAATCCAGAAATAAATAATCTCGCAACCTGAAAGAATCAGCCCTCTGTTAAGGGTAGGTTTCGGCCAAAAGTGCTTAACATTTAATCCGACGAACCATCCGATTACTGTATTCTTTCGAGGTGCTCGCTTTTCAATGAAACGCGATTACAAAGCGAATCGCGCTAGTTTCTCTCGATTTATCCACTTGTCGACGCGTGATAACGATTTACACACACGCAGTTAATCTCTCGGACGATTCGCTCTCGATTCCGTCGTGAGGACACTTCTAAGATACAAAGAGGGTGGTTGATGCACGCACCAATGAGAAATAAAAAAGTAATAAACGTCTTGTAAATAAAACGTATGCGTCGAAAATGGACCAAGGACCTAAATAGTGCAGCTCGTGTTGTAAAATTGATATCCCGATCTCGCTAATCACGTAGACGAGCTCGGATGGTAGGATCGTTAAGTAAAGCTACAATTTATCTCCTAATGTTGTTTAAAGTGACACACGGTGCGATACTGGATTGCGACGCGATCTGAAATTTTCATGGAAATCATCGTCACGAATTTATAATCCTTTAACAAATGTTTGCGTTCTTATATTGTAATTATTAGCAACATTTATGCATGATGTATTTTTCAAATTTTTTAATCATTTTTATTATTCTGTTTTGGGGTGACAATTTTTATCTAGAAAGAAATCTTTCAAAAATAACTTGAAATAGTATGAAGAATTTTTGTGAATGATTTTAGTAATAGACTCTTCTGAATTGAAATAATTATTGCAATATAATAATGCAATATAAAGAAAAATTAGTAGAAGGTTTCATGTTTATTTCTAATACATAATTTTATAAATTTTAAGAAAGATCTAATAATTGTGTATTTTATAATTTTAAGGAAGATGAAATGATGAGAATTGTATTCGACAAGGACCTAAATTCTTCGAACAAATCGATACGTTCTTTTCACAAAGTTTCCTAACGATGGACGACGCATCAATCATGCGAGCTAGAGAGAGGCAGTAAAGAAACAATTGGTGTTGAGCTACATCCCTGAAATATCCATTCATCTATTTCAGCTAAAAGACACGTACATCATTAATCACAAAAAACTGTACACTCTAATCGAAAGAAAAATCGCTACACTTTATCGTGTCTGGAATAAATTTTGTTCAACAATTCACGTAGATATATTGGATAATAGATTGACTTTTAAAGACTATTTTTATTAATACTGGTTAGTTAAAATTTTGTGAAAGAAAGAAGAGATTAATGCAAGTTACTGTACTGAAATTCTTAGACTTTAAATTTTATGTATTTTTAATTGTTCAAGGTTTATATTTGTAAATTTTCAAATTTCTGTTTGTAAGTTTTACAACTTTACCCTCAGAGTTGTTTATAAGTTTTTAATTGTAAAATCCTTGAATATGTAAAGTAATTTCTGTTTCTAAATATGTGAATTTGTTAATCTCAATATTTAAGTCCAATTGTGTCAAATTTGCAATTTTGTAAATTTACTAGTTAGCTTTTTGTAAATTTCTGAATTTCTGAATTTCTGAATTTCTGAATTTCTGAATTTCTGAATTTCTGAATTTCTGAATTTCTGAATTTCTGAATTTCTGAATTTCTGAATTTCTGAATTTCTGAATTTCTGAATTTCTGAATTTCTGAATTTCTGAATTTCTGAATTTCTGAATTTCTGAATTTCTGAATTTCTGAATTTCTGAATTTCTGAATTTCTGAATTTCTGAATTTCTGAATTTCTGAATTTCTGAATTTCTGAATTTCTGAATTTCTGAATTTCTGAATTTCTGAATTTCTGAATTTCTGAATTTCTGAATTTCTGAATTTCTGAATTTCTGAATTTCTGAATTTCTGAATTTCTGAATTTCTGAATTTCTGAATTTCTGAATTTCTGAATTTCTGAATTTCTGAATTTCTGAATTTCTGAATTTCTGAATTTCTGAATTTCTGAATTTCTGAATTTCTGAATTTCTGAATTTCTGAATTTCTGAATTTCTGAATTTCTGAATTTCTGAATTTCTGAATTTCTGAATTTCTGAATTTCTGAATTTCTGAATTTCTGAATTTCTGAATTTCTGAATTTCTGAATTTCTGAATTTCTGAATTTCTGAATTTCTGAATTTCTGAATTTCTGAATTTCTGAATTTCTGAATTTCTGAATTTCTGAATTTCTGAATTTCTGAATTTCTGAATTTCTGAATTTCTGAATTTCTGAATTTCTGAATTTCTGAATTTCTGAATTTCTGAATTTCTGAATTTCTGAATTTCTGAATTTCTGAATTTCTGAATTTCTGAATTTCTGAATTTCTGAATTTCTGAATTTCTGAATTTCTGAATTTCTGAATTTCTGAATTTCTGAATTTCTGAATTTCTGAATTTCTGAATTTCTGAATTTCTGAATTTCTGAATTTCTGAATTTCTGAATTTCTGAATTTCTGAATTTCTGAATTCTTAAATTTCTGAATTTTTAAATTCCACAACTTGTAAATTAAACCCTTAAATTTCCAACTTTTGTATTTTAAAATTTATGAAACCTTAAATTCTTCACCAAATCACCAAATTTCTAACCTCCAATTTTCAAATTCATGAAATTAGTAAAATTCCCCAATTGGAGAACCCTTAAATTTCTAAACAGCAAATTCCCTAAGTCCCTAAATTTGAAAAAATGTGACAACCAAGATAGAATGTTGCATATATCCTTTAGCAAATGAACTAAAATAGAAGATTTGCAATAAAAAATAGACGAGTGACGATCGATCCGTGAGATTTCAGTTGCGTTGATATTCAAGAAAAAACGGAGACAGAGCGAATCCATGCGAGAGTAAATAAATATATGAAAAGGATTCTAATTCTAATGACAGTCCTCGATCCCCTTTTATAATATACATATATATATACATATACATATTACACGTGCACAGAATATATATGTATACATATATATAAATGTAGTGGAAGAAAATTCCACCACAGCCGCGCGGTATTATTTTTCTGTATCCCTGTATCTATAACGAGTGATATAAGTATTAAACGATGGACTTAAGGGTTACGAGTAATACGACTGTACTATTAAACGATCATTACGATTACTTCGCCAGTTTTTGTTTTCATCTAGTAATCGGTAAGGTTTTCGATTACGATTATTATTACTGATCATAAACGATGCATTGTAATTGTCGCTGTTATATACAATACATACATACGTGCGTAAATATAGACATATACGGTGTGTGTAGATACGCGTATGTGTACGCGTCTACGTATGCACACACGCGTATATGTGTATAAGTCTTGAACAACATATTAATTTAATAACAATAAAGAAAACGTGAAACTCATTTCATCGATGTTTCATTCTACGCTTTTTTTTATTTTATCTTTATTCATTTTTGTAAATGTATTGACTTTATTATTTCTTGTAATCTTTATTGTTTTTTTTTGTAAAATAATCTTTATTGCTTGTTTGTAAAGTAATCTTTATTATAATTTGTAAGTAGCTAGTAAGCATGAGGTATTTCCATGAGATGCATTGTAAAATTTAAATTTAGTAATTGATATATGTTGATTGTTTGTTTCTTTGTTTATTTCATGACTCGTGATTCGTTGCATTTTTAATGTAGTTCTTATAAGTTGATTTATATATTTAATGAATTTCTGTTGGGATTAATGAATGATTTCTAGGTTTCATATATGTGATTTCTTTTTGTAATGATTTATATTCTTTTGTACGATTCTGATGGACATTTGGGAAGTCAAGAAATAAACAGTTTAATGAAGATATTGTGATTTACTTACCTTATAGAATATCAGTACCTCTAGAAAAAGTATAGTGTAGAAAACAGTATCTCTCCTACTGATAGTGCACTGTAGAACTATTAAAAAAGGCTTTTTTATTATAAAATATTGTTAAAGTTCATAAATTGTAGTTAAAAATTGAGTAATTATTTTACTTACACGTGTGCTTCGTAAGTTCGGAACGGGACTATTGTGCATGCGCGTAGATTGCGCGGGATACTCTCACTGCGCATGCGCGTTGGTTTGCGCGGGATGCCTCTTACTGCGCATGCCTCTTCAGCCTTTCTGCGATCCTAATACGAAGAATGGGTTCAGGCATTTGTCACTAGATGGCGCTAATATACTTTTCTCAGGAATTACCCTGTTTTCATACTTGAAATAAATTCAAGGTTTTAATAAATACATACATTCATACTTAAAAAAGTAGATATAACAAGAGACGATACTAGACAAGGAAACCTACCTCTTTATGAAAAACAGACGCAACCAATTTAAATTCTCAAATAATGAGAATGGGGGGTGCGCACGTGCA